TTTTGTTTAGTTGACTGAAGAATTGCTTATTAAAGCCTTCACTAGTTATCTTATGAGCTAGGTCTTTGTACTATTTTTCTTGAATGCTTCTAACTGGTTTGTATCTTTCTTTCTACTCTTCTAGTAATTTCTTGGCTTTCATGTTTCTTTTTTGAACTGCTTTTGAAAATGCTTTCTTACTTCTTCTAGTATTTCTTTAGGCTTATTTACTAGTTCTTGTTTCTCCTCCTTATCCTTTCTGCTTTTAAGTACTTTTTCTAGTCTTATGCTTCTATATAGCTTCTCTAACAGGCTATCTATCATTTTTTTCAGATCTTTTACCACTATTTCAAAACTTTTCTTGATAAAATTTCTGATCTTTTCTTCTTCCTCTATGTGTCTTTCTGTTTGCTACCTTTTGTATATGATTTTTTCTTATATTTCTAGTCTTTTATAATTTCTTAAATCAGTTAGCTCTGGTAAATCCCATTTTGCCTTAATCTTCAATATATATTTCTCAAATTTCTTTTTTTTTTCCTTACCAGACCTGTATACTCTGCTTTCTTTTTTTTTTGCACTATTTACTAAGTGTTCGAGTTTCTAGCCATAATTTTCTTACTGCTTCACCATACTCTAATGCTGACTTTAGTTCTAGGAGTTTTTCTTTTTAGGCAAAGTACTAAGTGCTGCTTTTCTTATTGATGCCTCAATTATATCCTACATGCTATCTATATTTAGCATATTAAATTTTCTTCTTCTTGTCATATTCTTCCTTGATAAGTTGCTGCTTCTGTTTGTATCCTTGGAGCTTTTCTATTTTAGTTTGTGATGTTCTTTATGCCTCTTCTTAGTTCTTCTTCAAGCTTGGTTTCATAATTCTTCCAGTCTTCTTTGTTTGTTTTATCTATATTAATGTTTATTTTCTTTTTTTTAGACATCTTATTCTTGTCTGATTTTTTATTCTTAGGTCTATTCTTGTTTCTAGTTTGAATACTACTGCTTTGTGATCACTTTCTGTTATAAGTACTATATCTACTATCTTTTTTTGTATTATATTTTCTGTTCAGATTCTATCAACCCATATTGTGTCTATTCTGAATCTTAATTTTTGATTACTTTATATTGCTACTTCATCTTCTAGATTTGTTTCTCTCTAAGCGTCTACCAAGCCTCTTGATTCTATTTCTTCTATAATTTTCTTCTTTGTATTTGTTTTTTTGCTTGATACTTGGTTCATAGTAACGTTGCCAAGATTTGTATTAAAGTCTCTTATTATTACAAATCTTTGTTACTTTTTCTTATATCTGTTCTTTTTTTTATATAAGTCTTTATCTGTTTATATATCTCTTGATTGTTTGGTACTATATATATTACTATGATATTAATCATAATCTCTTTGAAGTTTAGTATTATATTGATAATATATAGGCTTTTTCTAGATACTTTCACTATATGTTTTTCCTATTGCTTGTCAATCAGAATGTCAACTCCTAATCCTTTTTCTTTTGTTCTTCTGCTGCTGACCAATATATAGAGTAGTACTCTTGCTTTAACTAGAAATTTTTCTTTTTTCTCAGATAGGTTTGTTTCTGCTATTCCTAGTATATTAATGTTCTTATCTTTTATAAAATTTATAGTTGTTTCTACTCTGTTTTTAGATATTTTAATGCTGTTGATGTTGTAGAATCCAATTTTTAGTATGTTGAAGTTTTGGGTTTTACTTTTGTTTGTTGTATTTTTTTTCTCTTTCTTTCATATATATCTATTTGCTGATTGAAGACTTTTTCTTATCTTTGTTTTGTATATTCTGAGGGCTTTTGTGAAAGAGGCCAGTCTCCTAATTAGTTTTTCAAAATTCAACTAGGGCACCTTCTAGAAGCATTGAGCAGACACTACCTGCTCATTGCTTATACTGTCTAATCTTCTCAATATTTCTTTTAGCATTATTTAATATTCATCAATTCTGCTTATAATACTTGAGTCTATTTTTTGATTGTCTTGACTTTGACTTTGTTTATTATTTTTGCATTTTTCTCTTATATTTGAATTATCTCTTTCTTGCTTTTCTAAGTTTCCTTTCTCCTTATTATATGATATTTTTCTCAATTTTTCTTTTGTAAAGCTGTTTTTGGTTGTCGAAATCTTCCTTTCTATGTATTTCTTTCTGGGTTTTGTGAGTAGTTACCATATCTGCACTTCTGCTTCCAGTTTAGTAGCCAGTTATTGTATCTAACTGGCTTACTAGTTGCTTTTTCTAAATCTGCTTCATTTTCGAAAACAATAACTGCTGCTTGTTTTATTAGCCTATTTTTTTCTTTGGAATATATACTGCCTTTGCACCTCTTTCTTTGATATAGCCTAATAATAGTGTTTCTGAAGCTCCTTTTAAAATACCTTCTAATTTTATAGTGTGTCTGAAGTAACTACTTATTTCTTCTTTATTTTTTTTGCTTTTGAAAACTTGCGCTACCTTTCATTTTCTAGTAGTAGAACCCAGACAACAATACTATTGTTAAAAGAGAAGTTTATACAATATAATTAGTAAACTTTTTTTTAATAGTTTATAATCTAATAGGCTGATTTTGATGATTTAATCACTATTAAATTTATCTTAATAAGCTCTATAACTTCAATTAGAGACTCAAAAATAATTAATTTAGTATAAAAAAGTTTTAAATAAAAACATTTCACATTTCAAAAACACTAATTTTATATATAAACTATATTATATTATACTAGAGGTTGGAACCGGTTTTAATAATTCGGGTTTATCACATGAATTTTGTGATATTTTAGAATTTAATCCAATTAAAATTTAATAAATTCTAAAATATCACAAAATTCACGTGATAAACCCGAATTATTAAAACCGGTTCCAACCTCTATATTATACTATAAACTTGTACAAGTAGTAGTATTTTTATATAACTTTTATGTAGTTACTATTTTTAAAATTACTTATAAAATATAAGCAAAACCTTACCTTAATACCAAAAAAAAAAATATTACACTATAAGCACTCTCTAGTTAACTGGAAAATTACCTATTAAGCTAATCTGTATTAATTTTAAAAATTAATATTTCTACAATAGCTTTTAGAATACAGAAAAAATTAAATATATCTATATAAGCATGCCCTAAGCTAAAGCATGCTTCTTATGCCTATAAGTATACTTTTTTTAAATTATATGATTAATATATAGTTTACAACTTCTTAAAAATCTCATATATTAATTTAGTATCTACAGTTCTTGTTTTATCTAAACTTATTAGCCAATTAAAATAACTTTAAATATCATATAACAAAGGCATATCTATAAACATGCTTTAAAGACATGTTTTTAGAGGCATACTTTATACTTCTGTGTTTTAAACTTTATTTTATACTCTTTTTAATATTGCTACACCCCTGTTAATAAAATTAATATAAATTATTAGAGTTTAGATAGAGTTTAAAATTAACAGATATATAGCAATATTAAAAAAAGATGTGAAAATATCAATTTCTTTAATTTTTTGATTTAATTAGCTAATTAAATAATGAAACTGTATAATATAAAAGATGTATTTAATTGTAGCACTCTGTTATACACCTTATTTGTAATATCTAACTTAATACAACCAATAAAAATAATTAAAAATTTGTGTAATCCAAAATCTAAATCAAAATCTGATTGGCTTGTTATATATAACAGATATTACAAATACATTTTTTCTAATATAAAAATCAATTTGTTATATTTATAATTGACAACTAACTAATTTGAAACATTAATTCTAATTTTATAAAATTTACTAAACTTATATTTTATTATTTTATATTGCTAGATTATATTACTAAACTACTGTAGTTTATAAAATATTATAATAGTACTATAGCACCATAGTGCTACCCTATATGTTAATATAAAATTAATATACAGTAATATATAAATCTATACAATTCATAACCTCACCTTTGAAGATTAAAATAAAATAATAAATCAAACCAATTTAATCTTTACAAAAAATAAACCTTTTAATTAAGTTTAGATTAAAGCTGGGGTTAAGGTTAAACAGAATATAGTTTATACTAAAATTTTGTAAAAAATTTTTTTTATTAAAATACAAAATATGTTTTTTAATAAAAATTCTAAGATATAACTAATTTTTTAAAATTTTATTTTTTTATATAAAGGGGTAATCTGCATATTACACCTGACCTTAAATTTTAATTGGTCACAATACCCTAGCATTACAAAATAAATCACCTATTTTATTATTAAACTATCCATTAAAGTATAAACCAATTTCCCCGACAACCATTTCGCCGACGGCCACTTCACCGACAACCTATTTCCCCAATAGTCCACTTCCCGAAACCATTTCCCCGACAGCCTATTTCCATGACAATTCATCTCGCGACACTTTGGCTCGATTTTGGTTAGGGTGGCCTATTTTATAGTTAGTGTTGGCTAGTGATTGTCGGTGAAATGAACTGTCGGGGTAATGGGCTGTCAGGGAAATAGTTTCGGGGAAGTGGGCTGTCGGAGACATGGGCTCGGTGAAATGGCCGTCCGCGAAAGGGTTGTTGGGGAAATCTACCAAATCCATTAGTAGTATCTGTTTTAAAATTATAAATAAATAAATAAAATTAATTTAAAAAGAAACTACTAAATATATTAATAGATTTATATATTATATATTATACAATATAAATTTTTTTTCTTTTTTTCTTTTTTCTTTCTTTTTTTTTTTGAGGATGAAATATAGAAATTTTATTTTTACAAATTAATTTTGTACCAAAATGTAAATTTAAAACTTAAAGTATGCAAACCGTTTATAAGTTTAAAGTTAGTTCCGCGATGAACGAAGATGACATCATATCATTACCTGGCATATTTACATCAGAAAGCCGAACATATAATTATATGTCAAATTTGAGATTCAATTCCGAATGATTACTACTTAACGGCTTCACCTTATATACATTGCATTAAACAGAATAACACTTATTTATGACTGGATAAACAATTATGAAATCATTCGTCATATCGAAATTCTGTATCCCCAAATTGGTTGGTTCTAATTTTACCACGACGATATTCATCAAATTCTTCTCTGGTTCTTGGTAAACCCATAGAATATTTATCACCACCAGTATCATCCTTACTAGCGAACTTTTGTTGTCGTGAACTATTGTCATTAATTTGTTTTTGTTGCTCAAGTTTAGCATTTGCACGGATTTTGTCCCAAGTAGTTGAAGTTGTGTTTTGAGTTCGAATTCTATTCCAGGAATTATCTTGTGAAGATTTGTGAAATAGCTTTTGTGGTTGACCTAATTGCTCAGATACGGTAATGATTATATTTCCGTTTAAATAAAAAAAAAACAACAGGGTTTGACATTTATGAAGTTTGAAAATTACCATAATTATAATCACTCTCATTTGCATTAATGTCTCTACCCATCTCGTCTGTCATTATCGTAGAATTTTCGGAATGATCGTAAGGTCCCTGGTGAAACGAATATTGAGATTTTTTCTCCTTCTCAAATTCATCAACTAGAGTGGATTGATTTCCATTTTCAAATCTATAATCATCAGAATTTGTAGATTGATCCGGAGGAGGTGGTGTATGACGCGGTGGAATATGCTGTCTTTTTTTTCATTACATTAATTAAATTCTCACATATTTAAAAAGTTGACCAGATCGAAAAAAAATAATATATAGTGCCATTTAAGGTAATTATTAATTCTAAAAAAAAGAAAACTCAACTGCATTTCACTAATAAAGTCCATAATACGTTGTGAATTTGGAGATGATTTTATCAAATTAATACTAGCTATCGACCCCGTCACCATTCCCGCTTGGCTACCAAACAAAGTAGTGCCTATAATAATACATAAATTATTAGTTAAGTAGAAGTATTAAACACTTCGCAAATGATTACGTAATTGAGATTTAGTAATTTACCAAAGCATAACCAAATAGTACCTAAAGTTCTAATTTTTTGAACTTTTGCTTCATATATTAAAAATAATAATAAAAATCGGTGTTAATTACTTGAATAAATCTATATATATATTATAAAATTTTGAATTATCATTGAACTACAAACCAATAGCACCACCGACGACTAAACCAGTCAAAGAACCTATTCTCACTATAATTAAATAAGTTGAAATTATTCGATAAATTAATACATAATTCTATATTAGACTTGTAATTATGTATAAAAATATGAAACCAACACACTATGCATAGAAAATTTCGATTTTGCACGATTTAGAATTTCAATTTCTTCTTGCGTGAAATTGTATTCTTTGGCTCGTTCTTTAATTCTATCATATACTGACATCTTATTTATCGAAGGTGAGTCTCGGCGGTAATTAACCTCGCTATGCTTATATCGAATTATGCGCTGGGAGTTTTTTTTATCGTATTGACCAATCAGGTTTCGAGATCAGGCGAAGCAAACTATTTTGAGATTTTCTTGATGTTTAAAGCAGTTTGTTAATAAAGATTAATTTTATATTTGTGCCATGAATTCAAAGTTTGAGTATGATTAATATGTTTTGCAGTAACGGGAATATGATGGTGTTGTCTAGTGTTTGCTTTAATTTGTTGATTTATCGAAATTGAACATGGCGTTAATGTGCTCGAAGGGGGGGGTTTAGCTGATTTCCGTTGTAGTTAGTATTAAATGTAGCTATCAGGTTTTGCAGTGAATATATATATTTTTTTTTTATCGATTGTACACAGCGTAAAGGGTCTATTGGAGTATTTTTATTAAAGATTTAGTTTTGATGATGCGGTGTATATGTTGTGCCTCAGACTAACGCTTGCCTCAGATAATTGAATTTTTTTATAGTAAAAATTTTTTTGATCTGCACGTAATAGTAAAAACTATAGTAAAGTCGTCGTCTTTCGTTTTTAATTCCTTTCGAAATATTTAACATTTTTTAATTTTGTAAACACAAACTATTTAATTAAAGGTGTCTTTACATAGTGACAACGCTAGAAATTTGAGTTACTACTTAAATGTTTTTTTTTTCATGGGTACGTACATACGAAAAATAGCTATCCCTTAAACTGTAGGCTTTTCCAGGCAAATTTGCCTGGAAAATTATCATAAATATTGTTATGATCTACTTTTT